CAAGGAAATCGGGCTGGTTAGCCATTAAACGACGTGCACAACAATCGATGATATTAGGATCTGCTTCTTTTCTCTTGCATAAAGCACATTCTAACACCATCCCCTCTTTCCATAATCCTCTTTCACTGAGAACCCACTGGATTCCCTTAGACTAATCACATAAGTTAATGTTAAGCTTTGTTTTTTTATTGTAAACGGAGTAATCTTCTTCAATGATCATTGATTGACGGTGGTCATTCCATGTCGTATCTCGCATTCTCGGGACCGATCCTCCTGGACCAAGATTCATTTTCGAAGCCACAAGAGCATCTTCAGCGAAAGCCATATGGGAAGTAGCATTATCAAAGGCAAATATACCAATATTCCCCGGATGCGACCGTTCAAAGATGTTTATTGCTCGTATAACTTGTTCAAGGAGTTTTCGGGAGTCCCAAAATCCATCTCAGTTTGCACCAAGTAACATTGTTACACGTGCTTCTTCTTGTTCGTCTTTAAGTGGTCCTATTGTCTCTGTTAAAAAATCGCTTATATGCACACCAAGACCCATCCCTTTTTTACATAATGGCTGTTCGTTTTCAGGACCCCACAAAGCACGTGGTCCTTCGTAAGCATAGAAGGTTGTTTTATCATGGGTTATCCATACGTGCTCTCTTTCATTATCATTCAAACATGGGAATGTTCTTATTATACAGTCTTTGTCAAGCCATTTGGACATAAGCTGATCAAGTTCCGCAACCTCCTGAAGAAAAGTTTCACAATAAGCAACGACATCTGGCCATTTGTATCCATCTATGTAAGTACCTTTTTGAAAATGTTTATATCGAAAACCAAGTTTATGCATCCATCGACAAGCTGTTCGGATCGAAATATGTTGGACAGATTCAATATTCAATTGGGGAAGGATGTGCTGCTCAAAATATTTCTTTACCATTCTTGGACTCACTTCGAACGTCTGAGTGTGTAGATAGGCAGCTAATTGGAAGGAAACCAACTCGTCATTAAGCAGGCTCTTGGACGGAAACCTTCCCTGAGCAGTCGGTTGGATTAATTCCCCTTTCATGCAGATATTTGCCCACTTTCTGATACATCTCACAAGCCAAGGACCACCATTAACTACCTCCGAAACCATATTTGCTGCTTCAACTTTCTTTTTATTAATAAGCCGTAATCGAAGAAAATAGAGAACTGCTGTGTAACGAGCGATTTGAGTTTTAGTAAGTGTTTCGTCAAGCATCACTTCTTCAACGAATTTAATTGTCTTGTCAATAGTCTCTGATTTGGTACTGTTACTATTTCTGAGGTCTTCGTTAACAGTAAAGAAAAACTGCGTAATTTTTGAACTTTCCGCTGCTGCTTGCCTTAAATTTTTTCTTTTTCTTTACAGTGTCCATTTTGAATCGCCAGTATAAACAACTGGGCGTCCTTTTTTTTCAAAACCTGTTTTTGTATCG